TTGTAAACGGGGGGATTTCTCGCGATACGCTTTGAAATGACAAAAATTTCTTTCGTAAATGTGGTAGTGTACCCTTTTTCAAAGGTTCCTTTCAGTTTAGAAAGCCGAACTTTATCACCGACATGAAACTCAAACTTAATTGGACCATCAATAAGATCCTTATCATAGAGAATGTGCCAAATGTGTTCTTCGTTTTCTTGAGTTACCATACTGGGTTTGGTTTTAATAGAGGTGTGATAACTGTCGTTATAACTATCAAACAATTGCTGCAAGACATCAGTGTACTTTAAAGTATTCTTATGGGTAAAATACTTGTACAATTTTGCTTTCATAGTTTGAATCGTTCTCTCTGCGATTGCCGCCTTGGTATCGCTAGCAGTAGTAAAAAAGTGAATGTCATTTTTTGCTAAAAAGTTCTGAAAGCGTTTATTTAAGAATTCTTTTCCATGGTCTGTCTGTAGTTTTTCTGGCTTCCTTCCCTTCTTGAATATCTTTTCAAATCCTTGAACAATACATTCGCCTGTCTTCGCCTTCAGAGGTTCCCTCCATGCAAATTTCGATAGGACATCAATGGCAACTAATATGTATCTGTTCCCACCATTATATTTTTTGATTTTCTGAATATCAATAAGGTCAGCTTGCCACTGTTCATCGACTCGCCCCACAATGATTCGATTCCTTTTGAATTTTTTACGCGTTCTTCGGTGCAAGGTGTACGTTTCCTGGGAAGCAAGCCAATCATACACTTGTTTCCTCGATATTTTGTCTCCGCTTTTTTCTCTGACAGCACGATAAAAACTTTCGGGCGCAGTGAAACTTCCCGGTTGTTTTGGATCGTAGTACAGTTTCTCTAGATACTTTTGAATCTTGTTTTTCGCCATCCACAGAACTTATAATAATTGTACTTGAACAACAACCTACCACACATCTGATTTGTTTTAGGAATTTTTTTAGTTTAATAACCGGCAACGAAGAAAAGCACCCCATTATTATTGATGATCACGAAAGAATGAGTGTAATTTGATTGGAAATCATTGTTTTATACTATATTATTTTCGTTGTTGGGTTACCTGTGATAGCTCGCATTGTTGTTATGACAATACTGTAATTTGAGAGTACGCTGGTGTTGATATTAGCAAACACATCTACAAGTTGGCTTTCTTGGTCAGTTTTAAGTGTACTTTCAGTGTTAAGGAGCAATATTCTATACTACAACGTATAGTATTCACTTTTATTGAGATTTTGGGATAGTGGATTGATTCTGGATGAGAAAATAAGGGAAAATTGTACTTTGTTTGCACGAAAGAAAAAAAAAAGATAAGTATCCAACTGTTTTTGGTTTGTAAGCATATATTGAAACTTTCCTAATTTTCACAAATTATTTGATCTAGTTCCCAGAGAAAAAATGGCTCGATATGTGTCAACCAAGAAAAGAAACTTTGTCAATTGCATAAGGTAAGTCTGAAAGATGTACATTTCATGTCTGATTTGAACCATACCTTCAAGAGATAAAAAAATGGCGGGCTTGATGATCATTCTTCTTTCTTGTCTTCTTGTTGATGTTCGCAGTATTACCAACTGCAGTTATATCAAGGAATTTGAATTAATCGACTGTTCATCAAAAGGTCTAGTTTCGGTACCTCATTTTAAAGGATTCCAAAAAAGAGCAAGATCGCTGACTCTGAAAAATAACTTCATCACGGATGTAAATATCTCACGTATTAAGACACAACTACCGCTTATTCGCCAAATCAATCTTCATAAGAATCCTCTTCGCTGTACAAATAACATCTGTAACTTTGTGATTCTCAAAACTGATTGTGATTGTCCTCATCCGGCCATCTTTCCTACGATATTTTCACAGTCATCCTCAACTACGACTTATAGATTCAAACCTGTGAAAACTACTAAAACTGTTGAATCCTCCTTGACTACGAGTGAGAGATTCAAGTCTACAAAGACTACCACTTCAGTTTTGTCCACTGCCGAATCCTCGATTACGAGTGGTAGATTCAAGTCTACGAAGACTACTACTTCGGTTTTGTCCACTGTCGAATCCGTGACTACGAATGGTAGATTCAATCATACGAGGAATACTACTGCAGTCTCGTCCACTGTTGCGTCAACTAATGCATCAACTCGCATTCGAATTTCAAGTGACATTCTCTACTTTATCATATTTTTTCCATCTCTCGGATCAGTTTTACTTATAATGCTGATATACACACTAATTATTAAATTTCGTAGAAACACTGCTCTTGATGAAGTAATAGAACTTAATCAGATAGATAATCCAATGATCAACATCGATGATGAAGACGATGAAGTAACAGTTTATGAACATCCTCTTATCGCACATAATAGTGAAAACACTCAAAATGTGTCACGTATATAAATCAAACTAATTAGATGTTTTCGTCAGTATGGGAGTATCTTGGTGTTGTAAAGTTTCGTACAATTCTCAGCTGAGACCAGATTGGTTTTTGGAAAAAAAATAAAAAAATCACCAATTCACACGCAACGAAACTTTGAAATACCAAATATGAATCAACTGATCACACGTTGATCATTGTCATGGCAGCTACGCGGAGCCACGCAGTTAAGAGCTCCGTAATAATCATCATAAATGTACTCCTCAACGGCTTTATAATCAATCAAACATGCTGCCCCGGCAAGGTAAAGTCACATAGTTATTTTTGGCTTACTCTATCTCGCTGTATGGAAACCACGGAGAACAAAATTTCTACTTTGGCGAATTTGGTTTCTGGAGTTACGAGTCGTTTAAGTGATGGAAACGATCAAATCTACATAAAGGTCTCTCAAGAGGACCCGCTCCATTTTCAACCCTTGTCTTCACGTGTGACATTCCAACAACGGTCTTTGTTCTCTAGTGTGAAGCACAGTAAACCTCGTAGAACAAAGAGAGCAGTTTTATATTACTCAAATTCTACTGCAACAACTCAACTCATTATTAAAGATGGGGACGTTGAAACGAACCCAGGCCCTGAAGATACCACATCGGGAAAATCGAAAGCAGATAGTTCCTCCAAAAGATCGAAAATCAACACAGCAAATAACCGGAACATTAAAATCGCTCATTTAAACGTTCACTCTCTCAAGAATCGACAGCATTTTCTTCTCGTGAAAGACATCATTCTAAAGTACAAATATGATGTCTTTACTGTATCCGAAACGTGGCTTTAAGATGTAGTACCTAACCTTGAGCTGGAAATTCCCGGATACAACCTCTTCCGCCTTGACCGACCAGGAAAAAGTGCGGTGGAGGAGTGTGTGCATACATTTTGCAACCATACAAAGCCGAAGTTCTCCATGATATCAGCACAGTATCCGACGCCGGATTCCATCAACTTTGGGTTAAAATTCAAGTTAGGAACCTTAAATCCTTCGTAGTTTGTACTATATACAGGCCACCTGATACCCCATCGACCTGTTTTGAATCAGACCTATCTCCAAGCTTCATAAATGCTTCATTGTTAAACAAGCCAATCTACATCCTTGGCGATGCTAACTCCAACTTATTAACTCCTCAATGTCCTGATTCTGGTGCTCTTTTGGATTTTATCAACTTGTTTAACCTAACACAATTGATTAATTCACCTACGAGGATCACTCAAACAACTGAAACTCTTATTGATATTATATTGGCGTCAAATACGAAACAAGTCGAGGAAGCCAAGGTAATTCCCTGCTCTGTCAGTGATCACGACCTCATTTACGCTAAGCTACAACTTAAACAGGACAGACCTAAACCAATCTATATTTACACCAGGAGTTTCAAGACCTATAACCCAGATTCTTTCCTGGAAGAAGTGGAGAAAATACCCTGGAGTGTAATGGATACATTTGATGAAGTTGATGATAAACTGTCTGTCTTCAACTCCCTATTATTAGAAGTCCTAGACGAACATGCTCCTTTGAGGACGATCAAAGTTCGTGGAAGAGCCAATCCCTTTGTGACAGAACAAATTCGTGAACTAATGAAAACTCGTGATTTGTACCAAAAGGTTGCACGACGGACTAAAGATCCACTTGCCTGGAATGCTTTCAAGAACTTTAACCGAGAAGTTAAGAGAGAAATAAGAATGGAAGAAAGGAGGTATGTAGCGGAGCAAATATCCAATAATAAGAACAATTCAAATTCTCTATGGAAAACCATCCGTAGCTGTTTACCCAAAAGATCAAGAAATGCTAAAACCTACAGTAAAGACGATCAAAAAATAGCCGAAGAGTTTAACGAGTATTTCATCAACGTCGGAAAGAACACTGTTAAGAAGATTAACGACTTGGCCGTTAAACTTAACTATGATCAGTCTAGTGCTAACTTTCACCCCCAAACGTATACCATGGAGGAACAGTTCACCTTTGGCGCCGTTAAAGAAAAAGATGTAGAATCCATTATCAAGGGTATGACAACCAATAAAGCTCCTGGATATGATAAGATACCTATACGGGTTATCAAGGACAGCCTACCAGCTATTCTGCCAGTTGTTACAGCCCTAATAAATTCCTCCTTCGAGACAAGTGTTTTCCCGAACAAATGGAAAATCGCCGAAGTACTTCCCATTCATAAAGAGGGTGATCATGAATTGCCTGTGAATAATAGGCCCATTTCATTATTACCTGTACTGTCCAAGATCTGTGAAAGAGTTGCCTATGACCAGCTTACAGCATACATACAAACAAATAATAGGATGTCTTGCAGTCAAAGTGGATGCAGAGAATATCATTCAACCGAGACCTCTGTATTATACACTACAGATAACATCCTTCAGTCTATTGATAACAAAAAACTGACTGCAGTCGTCCTGTTAGACATGAGCAAGGCTTTCGATTCAATAAACCACCAGAGATTACTACTAAAATTACAACATGTCGGAGCCTCACCTACTGTAATAAATTGGATGCTCAGTTATTTGTCGAATCGCTACCAAGCTGTACGAATCAACACGTCTCTTTCCAAACCATTACGAGTAGAATACGGAGTGCCTCAAGGAAGTATTCTCGGTGGCCTATTATTTAACATCTTTATCAACGATCTACCTTCAATACCACAAGACTGTCTTACACAGAACTACGTAGATGATACTAAGTTAATGATCTCCTTTTGTCCAAAAGATCAATCTGACGCCTCGACGAAGATCATCGGTGATTTACAGAGAATCCAAGATTGGTGCCTAGAAAACCAACTCTTGCTGAACCCTAATAAAACTAAATTACTCTTATTTGGGAGCCGCCAGATGCTTGCAAAAGTAGACAATTTCCAAGTGTCTCTCATGGCAAAGCCGCTAACTCCATCTCATGCAGCAAAAGACCTTGGGGTATTTCTGGACAGCAACTTGACATTTAACGAACATATAACACATACAGCGTCATCTTGTATGGCACGCTTGGGACAAATTAATAGAGTGAAACATTGTTTTGATAGACAAACACTGATCATCTTAATTAATGCTCTAGTCTTTAGTAAACTTTTTTATTGCTCGTCAGTTTGGAGTAATACGACAGAATCTAACCTCAATAAGATTCAAGCAGTGCAAAATTTCGCTTGTAGGATTGTTTCAGGGGCCAAAAAGTACGACCACATCTCACCTATGCTAAAAGAACTTAGATGGTTGCCAGTTAGAAAGCAACTATATCTTAGGAAAGCTACCTTAGTTTTTAAGTGTATGAACGGAATGGCCCCAGGTTACTTAGCTGACAAGTTTGTCAAAAGATCTAGCATCTCTAGCCGTCAAACTAGGAGTTCTCAGATGTTAAATATTCCGCTCCTTAAGACAACCACAGGTCAACGTTCCTTTTATTATCAAGGTGTTAAGCTTTGGAACGATTTAAGCGATAGGCTTAAACTTTGTGAAAGTGTGCATACTTTTAAGAATGCAATGCGAAAAAAGCTTTTAAAGGAATTTCTTTATAATTAAATTTTACCAACGATAATTATGATTACAATAATTAGAATTTTTGAATTATGATGCTTATAGTTTAGGTTTTT